TAATTTTGCGCAAAGCGGTGGATATATTATTTATGTTACTTATTATAAGTTAGCAAGGTAGTTATTACTAATTATAATTATATATTTATTTTTAAGATACCTGCGACAGAAAAAGAGTGATTGGATGTGGCTAACGATTTTGAAACACTTTGGCAATTCCCGCACACTTTGGGAGGAATCGACGGAAAGCATATCCGAATAAAACCGCCACCTCGTTCTGGATCAGATTTTCACAATTATAAGGGCTTTTTCAGTATTATTCTTCTTGCAGTGGTTGATGCACACAGCCGATTTATATATGTCGATATCGGAGCGAATGGAAGAGCATCTGACGTCATGGCCTTCAAAAATAGCTTATTGTATGATAACTTGTCAAGAGGCCAATTAAACCTTCCTGCTGATAAGCCTTTAAAGGGACAACTTTCCAAAACACCCTTCTATTTTATCGGCGATGACATTTTTGGTTTGAACCGCCATTTAATGAAAGCGTACCACCGAAGTTCCAACTTAAGCACTGCTCAAGAAGCGTATAATTACAGATTAAGTAGAGCGCGAATGACTGTGGAGATGGCATTTGGTAGGCTCAGTTCACGATTTCGCGTTTTTCACGGCCCATTGAGGTTTCAGTGGAAACATGCGATACTGTCGTTAAGGCGTGTTGCATTTTGCATAACTATTTAGCGCGAAAACTGGCTCAGGCACCAAATCCCCAGCAAGACATCTCTAACCAAGTTCTTCCGTCTACAATTTCCTCTTTACCAGTACAAGAGCAAAATACGTACAAATACGCATGTAAAACACGAGATAATATCTGTAAATATTGCATAACTGATGGAGATGTGCCGTATCAATGGCATAAAATAAAAAAACAAGTTCCAAAATGAAAACATGCATTCATGTGTTTATTATTTTATAAAATTTCTTTCCCGCAAGATTTTTTAAAATATTTTGAAATTACATAAAAGGTAAGTAATTTGTTCTTTTGTAATTTTTTGTATATAACGTACAACAAATTTAAGATTAAGATTTTACGACGCTTAACACGCCTTGTGAATCCACAGATTGTGTAAGTCTTCTGTAAATAGAATTTCCGTCTGCAGAAACCCACTGTAAAATTTAACGAACATTTGGACACCTAAACTCCCATATTAGTTGGGATAAAATACCTGAATATAAATTCATTCAAGAACAAATGCTTTTAATAAACTTTAATAATAACAAAATAAAAACATAAACAAATAACTAAATAACATTACAAAACAAAAATCATCCAAGAATATTTTCACTTCTTTGTGTACATACACTTGTGATCAGCTAATTAAGCCAGAAACATTTTGATCAATTTTGGCTCTTTTGCTTTTGTTTATTTAATGTTTATTATTTTTCCGTAAAAGTCTAGCTCATTATATAACAAACGCCATAAAAATCCACATTTCAAACTTTGTGCAAAAATTATGAAAAATCTGCAAAGTTTCAACTAAACTTTCAACTTTTTATTCAGATCTTTTAGAATTATTTTGAGTATTCAGTTTAATAGCCCATTAAATTCTAGGGAATAATGTGCATGTCTTAAGTTGCTAAAGAATCGCGTTGATTTTT